GGGGTTGCGTAGGCCTCCATGGTAATGGTGAAGGGGGGTTGCCAGCCTCCAGGTGGGGCCTGGAGATCTCCTGCTTTTACAGCTGATCTCCAGCTGACAGAGGTCAGCTCCCCCCCCCGAGAGAAAAATATAGAACTCACTGAAGAAAAAACAGTATTCGTTACATTTTAACACATTTTGTTATGATGTTTATATCTGTCCTGGAAGTTGGCAACCCTGCCTCCCCCAGTAGTTTTGTGCTCTGAGTCAAGTCTTTGTTCATGTTTAAAATTCTTTCTTTAAACTAATTTAAATTTAACACATTTAAAAGCCACCCTAAGAACGACCCCCTAGGTCCGTAGCAATGTTCCCTCTAAGCTGTGGAGTCTTGTGAGCAAAAATTCTACTCTGTGAGCTACTGGCACTAAAGTTGTGAGCGAGCGATTTGGCTACTGCATAAATTAGTTTGTTTTGGAGCCATCCTTCCTGAGCAAAGACAAAAATGTGTGAGCCGGTGGCTAAAAAACTGTGAGCTGGCTCACAGTAACTCAGCTTAGAGGGAACACTGGTCCGTCGTTAGATTCAAGTGCGGGTTGCCGAGTTGGTCTGAAGCAGCAGAGCAAAGTTTGAGTCCAGCCGGGCACCTGGAAGGCCAACACAATTTAATGCTGGCCCATAAGCTTTCTTGTGCATCTAACAAAGTTTAATTCTCGGTATCAGTAGGGAGCACTCACTGGAGAAGACCCCGATGCTGGGAAAGACTGAAGGTCAGAGAAGACGGGGATTGCAAAGGATGAGATGGTTAGACAGTGTCATAGATGCAACGAACATGAAATTGAGCCAACTTCAGAGGACGGCGGAAAACAGGAGGGCCTGGCGGGATCTGGTCCATGGGGTCGCAAAGAGTTGGACTCGACTGTGCGACTGAACAACAACTCAGCTTTTGTGTGCAGGCAACAAAGTTTAATTCTGGGTATCAGCTTTTGTGTGCATGCGCACACAAACGTATGTCCATAATTAAACTTTGTTGGTCTTACAGGTGTGCATGTCCACGAAAGCTTCTACCCAGAATTAAACCTTGTTGGTCTGAAAGGTGTGCATGCACACGGAAGCTTACACCCAGAACAAAACATTGTTGGCCTTAAAGGTGCCACCGAACTCAAACGTCCATAGTTGTTACCCTGGTATCCTTGGGGGTGGGGGGAGACCGAGAAAGAGGAAATGTGCCAATGAAGCAGGTTTGACGGTCTGAATGGTGAGCAAATACTCTTCAGCATCATCCAGGTCATTAGTTCCATATCTTAGGTGCGAGAACTCTGAACACGGATCTTCTGGCACTTGGATGGATGGGCCCTCAGATGGTTTACCCCCGTCTTCAGCTGGTGGACTAGAACTGAAGTACTCCTCACCTGGGGGTCCAGTGGCATGAGCACCTGTCTCCTTAAGAAGGGACGGTGATCTAAATTGTAAAACAGCGACCTCAAAATGGGCTAAAGATGGGTTAACTTTCTGTGCCACAATCCAGGATGTTTTGTAAGGCTTGACCCTATGCCACGGGTGCCTGTTTGGGACTCGTGCTGAAAGATCCCCCACATGACATGGTCTCCGGCTTCAGGAAGGATAAATCCAGTTAAACCTCTGCCTGTCATCCTCTCCTAGACACCCCATCCAAAGGCAAAATGCAGGTGCGCTTTGGGCCTTATATGTTTGTGGGTGTGCCGTGAGCCTTCATGTGGTGTAACGTGGAAACTGCAAGTCAAACTGGAAGCCAGGCAGTTCACTTGAGTTGTGTGTGTGTGGCTGACAAGGAGATGCTGCTTGGAGAATCCAAATCTTGGGAGCCGGGGAGAGGGGGCTGTAAAGGTTTGCTTGAAAAACACATTTTGCATACAGATGGTCCTGTCTCCAGAAAAAAGGATCTCACAACAGGACTGGGAAAGATCTGTCATCCTGTCTATGTTCCCGAGACCCAGGAGAGGTGCTGTTACTGCGAGAGGACAATACTGAATTGGACGGAACAGTGGTACCCAACCACATTCTATGACAAACCCTGTCCTGCGTTGATTTACTTGTCCCTTTCCCTGCTGACATCAGGGATAAAATGTGAACTAGTTGTACATCCAATTTTTCCAATACAAAATGTACATGCAAGGAGTTCTAGCAGTGAGAGGCTCCTGCCTAGAAGACCCTTTCTGCGTTTGTCGAATCAATGCCAGGGACCGCTTTGGAGAACCAGTTTGGTGTAATGGTTAGGACCACAGACTCCAGTCTGGGAGAACCGGGTTTGATTCCCCACATGCAGCTGCTGGTGTGACCTTGGGTCAGTCACAAGTTCTCTCAAGGGTAGTTCTGGAGAGAGCTCTCTCAGCACCACCTACCTCACAGGGTGCCTGTTGTGGGGAGGGGGAGGGAAAGGAGATGGTAAGCCGCTTTGAGACTCCTTCGGGTAGTGAAGGGTGGGATATACGTTCAATCTCTTCTTATAGCCAGGTTGTATGCAATTCTAATCTTTTCTCCCCCTGTGTTCCACCCTTCTGTCTAGAAATGAGCGACACCAGCCTACCAGTGGAGAACACCAAGGAACAGGAGGAAGAGGAGGAGGAAGCAGTTACTGGGGTAGTGCAGGGCTCACAGTTGCCCAGTGAAGGATGCGTTTCCCCCACCGTAGCACCAGTGCCCTCTGAAGGGGAGCCAGGGCCAGCCGCCCACACTCACTGCCAGGCATGGCTCCTGGACATACTGGACGATACGCGCTACCTTATCTCCTGCACCAATTGGTATTAGGCTGGTTCCTCTGGAACCCCCCGCCCCCCGGCTGCTGTTGTCGAGGCATGCAGTCAGACAAGTCCCTGCTCAGACTCCTCTGCTATGAAGGACCGCCGTGCCTGTGGTGAGGAAGCCAGCCCCGCCTCCCAATAAAGGCCTGGGAAAGAAACAGCCCCTTTCGCCTTGGCCTGGTGCCTTCTCCGGCTCTCAAGGCAGTCTCCTTGGGCTCTTGCACCTGACTGCTCCTTCATTCACAAATGTGGCATTTCCCACCATGTGCTGCGGAACCGGCTATAAAGCTTTGGATATCAACACCACTTATCTGGTCCACCTGATTTTGTGGGAGATATTCCTAAAGTAAGTAGCTTCTCAAACTTTCTGAAGCAGGGTCATCTAGTCCAACCCCCCACACAATGTAGGAAATTCACAAATACCTCCCCCCCACACCCCCAGTGACCCCCTGTTCCATGCCTCCCCAACCCCTCCAGGACCCCTAGCCAGAACGGGCCTGGAGGAAAATTGCTTCCTGATCCCTGGGTGTGTAAGAGACCACTTTTGTGACCACTTCCTCCAGCTCAAGCCAGAAGACTGTCAAACAGTGGATTAACAGGATAATGCCCATTGAAGACGGTCTAGTATGAAAGAGTCACCAGTTGCCTGATTTTCCTGCTCACCTGAACTGTCCTCCTCCCAACTGGAAACAGACACAGGGACCTCTCCCTGCCCCACCAAGAGCCCAGGTACGCCCAACGACTTCTCTAAGGCACAGAACTGAATGCATGTTCAAGTTCACAAAATGTGGTTACCTGGGCAACCGATAAGTCTTTCAGGTAACCCCTTGTCCCTCAATTCTCTTGCCTTGAAAACCCTCCAGGTTCACCATAGGTCAACTCACCTGGGACTTGACGGGACTTTCCACCAGGTTAAGTAATTATTCCAGGCCCTAAGGATGCCAGGTTCGCCTCCACTAGGCCGGGGCCTTTTCAGTGGCAGCTCCTTACTGGTGGAATGAGCTCCCGGAAGAGATCAGGGCCCTGCGGGACCTTCTACAGTTCCGCAGGGCCTGCAAGACGGAGCTCTTCCACCAGGCTTTCAACTAGGAGCCGCCCACCACTACCACCAACTACCACTATTGAACATCTGTGGTACAGGGCCGGCCCTAGCGTGGAGAGAGAGCCATATCTCCGCAGGAGGCCAGAGGATCGCTGAGCTAGGAATTTTGGAGGCACATCTTAGAGAGTGCCACTTAAGCTAATGAAGTACCGACTAAGGCTGTGAGCACTTTAACTACTGGAGTATTTTAACTGTATGACTGTTTTAATTTGTTTAAAATGTTTTAATGTTTTATGGAGACCAGGTACGTTGTACCGACCTTTGTAAGCCGCCCTGAGTCCATTCGCGGGGAGGGCGGGGTATAAATGTAACAAATAAATGTCCACAGGACGGCAGCCTTTGACCTTGGGTGGGGTTCCTGCTGCTTCTTGACTCTCTCTCCACACGGGGCATTTACCACCATGCCTCCCCCGACAGCAGCATTTTTAATTTGGGCCTCCACACAGGAAGTATTCGCCCATCTTCTGGATTTTCTACTAGCACCAGTGTGAGTTTCCCCAAAACCTGCTTTGGTCCAGTCTTTCCGGGACGTTCACACCCACGTGGGTTTTGAGATGGGTGTAGCAACCTGGGTCTCCGAGCCCAGAGTGAAGAGACTAACCAGACTCTTAGATCCATGCCAAGAAGAGCTTTGGGTGAACTACAAAAACTGGATGGCTGCCGACACCGGCGAATGGGAGGGGCAAGAATGGGACAGCACGGGACACTATGGGATGGACGAACTGTGGAGGCCAAGGAAAAGGACTACAGAGGACTATCATTTAGTACGCCACCAGCGTGCACGTCAAGATGCAGGGAGGCGTTTCTTGCTCTTTTAAATATCCGGGGAAGGCCCGCCCCTTCCAGCCTACTGAAATCCCCAGGTTGTGCCAGGGAGGAAGAAGAGGAATGACCCATCACATGCAGGGCTATTTTGGGGCAGGAACGCATAGGAACGGAGTTCTGGCTGGCTCCCGAGTTGGCCACGCCCAGCAGGAACTAATTAACAATAGGCCACACCCAACAGCAGAAACTCATTAGGATTGGCTACATTAGGGGTGTGTGGCCTAACATACAAAGGGGTTCCTGCTCCAAACAAAAAGTCTTGGGTTTTGACAGCAAACAAGGTAAAGAGAATAAGAAGTAAAAGGTGGGTATGGCTGGATGACCACACTTCTGGTAACATGGGGGTGTGGCCTAATAGGCAAATGAGCTGTGCGGTCAGGGGTGTGGCCTAATATGCTAATGCGTTCCTGCTGTTGGGTATGGCCTATTATGCTAATGAGTTCCTGCTGGGCTTTTTCTACAAAAAAAGCCCTGACATGTCTTCCAGAACATGAGCCGTAACACAGCTAACACTCCAAAAGTCTGTCTACCCGAGACTCAAATTTAGCTAAGAAGAGAATTTAACAGAAGAGAAGCATCAACTCCTTGAACATGAGCATTTGGATCTAAACATTATCCCAGTTCTAACTGATCGGTGTTGAGTCCTTCAGTGCAGAAAATAACACACCCCATAGGATAAACTGCAAAGAAGGACTGCCTTGCCAGAGAGTTACTATTTATTCTGAAGGCTTATCTGTTGCGCACAGAAAAAGCGTCAGGAGCCCTTTGGCATTGGTACACCTGGCCATGGGCTCCCGAAGACAGACAGCATCTGCCCAGCAGACGGGTCAAAAGGCTGCAGAGAGCAGGGCCCGCTCCCGTGCCACCTCTTCCCGTGCCACCTCTTCCCGTGCCACCTCTTCCCGTGCCACCTCTCTTGACGATTGTGGGAAGAGGAGTGGTTCTCCTGCCGGCCGGCCACAGGCTCACAATTTAGGAGCACACCGCTGGGATTCAGAGCCGTCATAGAGACGGATGAGACGGTCTGCTTCTCTCCAGCCGGACAATAAGGCGCCATGTGTAGTCGAATAGAAAGTCCGGTGCGTGGCTTCTCCCGCAAAAAGAACCTGCAGCGCCTGAAAGGAGAGAGAGGAACACGTTAGCCCGGCCCGGCCGGTTGCTGGCTGACAGATTCGGGCCAAGCTGTGGGGGAACACGGAGGCTAGAAGCCTTGACGCATGTGACTTGGTGGAGAAATTGGCTAGTGCTCAGGAAACGGTGGACACGGAGCCCGCGTTGCAGACTGTGAACACCCAGCGGGGCCTGCCCGATGCGGCCAAGAGCTTACCTTGGGATCCAACGCTTCCTCGGGCAGTGGCAGGGCGAGGGCATCGATGTCATCTCCGGAGCTGCCCACGGCCACGTAGCTGTAGGAGCCTCTGGTGTAGGGTTCCCTGCGCCACCTGGACCTCAGGATGTTCTTCGGAGGGGCCAGGCGTGGGTCTCCTGATTCATGGGGAAAGACAGGGCGCTCGTGGGCACGCTCCCTGCCTGCCCTCCTTTTAAAAATGTACTTCAAAGTGGCATGAAATGACTGTAGCCCTCACTCAGGCGTGTGGGCCACACTGTGGAGTAGGCTAGCCCCAAGTCTGAACCACAGCGGCCGTCTGAGACCTAAAAAGGGGTGGGGGTGGGGGGCAGGGGGACGGGACCGCAGCACTGTCTGGTAAAACAAAAGCAGCAGCCATTCACGCCGAGGTTTAATACAGAAGGGTTACGGACAATGTTCCCTCTAAGCTGTGGAGTCTTGTGAGCAAAAATCCAGCTTTGTGAGCTACTGGCATTAAAGTTGTGAGCGAGCGATTTGGTTGCTGCATACACTAGTTTGCTCTGGAGCCCTCCTTCCTGAGCCAAGACAAAAATGTGTGAGTCGCAGGCTAAAATACTGTGAGCTAGCTCACACTAACTCAGCTTAGAGGGAACACTGCTGGGAAGTCTTGGCCGTTCCCCCCCCCCCCCT